GGCCTGTGTGGAGTCAGGTGTTAGCGCTATAAAATCCCTTTTGATTAAGCTCTTTCTACAGACTTTGCCCTCATCATGAAATATCAGCATACAACGATATGGCAGAATGACCCATATTTTTATGGGTCATTTATATGTCGAGGCTTTCAAAACAACATATTCTAGCTCATCTCACTTTCGGGTCACATGAAGACATCTGTAAGTAAAATCCCAGCTCCAGATATAAAGTAACGTAGATATTGCATGCTATACATTTGTATCTGAATGTTAAAGTATGTCAAGATGGATTTAAGTGTGATTCAGTGTCCTTGACTTCTAAATGCCTCCCATGTGGCTGCAACTAATTGCCATTTTTCTTGTGGATTGGTCTGCCGTTGCTTTTTGGATTTGTTATAATTGTCAGAATGTAGTCTGACGTGTTGAAATGTTAGTGTTATCTGATCACCGAACCCACTACAGTATAGAAGAAACTACTTCTGGGTTCTGCCTCATTCACAAGGGGTTGCCAGAGTGGGTAACTTCATATTTTTTGGGGTGTTTTTTCACCAGCTGCCCTTCCTGGGGGATTTATATCTACTCCCGGGATCAAACCGGGAGACTTTCCGTTTTAGACAATGTGTAAATCACTATACCAGGGATGTCTTACTCATTTTACATCCTGGGCCATAGACAGTCCACTTTGAACTTAAGTGGGCTAGACCAGTGAAACCTGCCTTTTTTTTTTTTCCCCGTGTAAAGAAGTCTAATTACATATTTAATCCCTGAGATGTTTTAATATAAGAAAAAAGAAGTGCAGTTTCACAGTACATCTGTTTTTCTACTTGATAAAATGCTGCCATAGTAAATAAAGTCTGTCAACATGAGTCTGAGAAAGAAATGTCCTTTTTACCCCTCATTGGTAAATTGTCGTCACCCTGCTAGGCAGACGGCGTGGACACCTAAGTTTGAGAACAAGGTGATGTAGGATTTTGAAATGATACTATATGTGCAGCTACTGAAAATCTCAGAAAAGCTTGAATCTCGTTGACCCTTGACCTTGAGGTCAAGGTCAGAGGTCTAGTTTGCTGAAAATCTTGTGAATAGGATAACTCGAATGCAGCGATGTAGGATTTTCAAATTGTGTGTCTACTAGGATATTCACATTGGCAATCACCAGCAATTTTTACTGTAAAAGGCATAAATTTGTATAGTGTGTATGGTAATATGGTGAAAACCAAGAAACCTTCTTTTATTTTATTGTTTATTTGTTACTTATTTACCACTCTGTAGTATGAATGGCCATGGGGGAGCGCTTTATCAGTCAGAGAAGCTGCAAAACCCGTGAAAATACATTTAAAAGTCCAAATGTATGCCCTTCTTCACATTTTCGAAAGCCGCCAAACGGGTTAGATTGGAGTCTTTGACAACCGATTCTGGCCCCAGGCCTTTTGTTTGACACCCCTGCACAGCACTATGGAGCCATTCAAAGGGTACTTCAAAATACACATACCTACATTTTTGATTTTTGTTTTTTTTAAGGTAATTCCAACAAATGTAGGTACAAAAGTTTGTTTCTTCCTTTTAAAAATAAGTATTGGAATAAAGGATTGCCAAGACAGTGGTATTACTTGATCACCTAATCCAACCCTGAATGTGTTTTTAAAAACACATGCCCTAGTTAAATAACCAGTAAGTTTCAATGGGAGGGGCTTACAGTAAATAGGTGGAGTATGTAGGTTTAAGATGTGGGCTTTGTTTCTCCAGATAAAACAGAGGTGTTATTTTTATGTGTGTATTTATAAGTATCCAAAGAAGGACAAGTGAGGTCAACTATAACCACCAGAAGCTGCAGCTGATGTTTGGCTGATTGGTACTTGGATGACATGGCATTGCTCTGTTCCAATTGGCTCTGTTCCCCTTTAACCCCGTTGGTGTGCCAGTATTAAATCAACACAAGCATCCATCACCGTGCATATAGATGTGACTTTAATGAGGCCGTCGTATTTAAGTGGTTAGGGTATCAGTTACTGATGTGGAAACGGAGTGTGCGACCGTGTGCCCCATGTCCTCTGCGCTCACACACACTCGCATGTATACACGCTCCCAGCGCCTGCTGGCCCACGGTGTTATCTGAAGTCTGTCCAGCAAGCCGGTCTGTACCCATGATGTTGGTCCCCTTCAAACCTGAGCAGCTGTTGAGAGATTTAGCTCCTCACGCAGCTCTCAGCAGAAGTGGAACACAGTGGCTTTTGAGCTGTTCCCTAATACCCCTATGATTCATACTTGTTCTGTTC